CATTACAGTCATTTTTGGAGAACCATCATCTTCATTCCCTCATTTCAATATGTGATTTCAATGAGTGATTATCACTAAGTATTTTTAAATATAGCATTTAATAGTTCCATGATTATATTTTGTTTTTGTTTTTAATGAGGATATCAATAAATTGTAATCAAAATTATTCTAGACATTTTAGACTTTATTCATAGTACTATGGGCAGTTTTTAAAAAAAGAGTTTAAGCGTACATTATTGTTTTTTTTAGATGGAGTCTTCCTCTGTTGTCCAGATTGGAATGCAGGGGTCAATCATACCTCAGTAGCCTCAAACTCCTGGACTCAGGTGATCCTCGCATCTCATCTTCTTGAGAAGATGGGACTACCAGCATGTGTTATCATGCCCAGCTAATTTTTTTTTAATGTCGAGATATGGGTCTTGCCTTGTTGCCCAGGTTGGTCTGGAACTCCTAGACTCAAGCCATCCCCCAATCTCAGCCTCCCAAAGCATTGGGATTACAGGTGGGAGCCACTGTGCTTGGCCTCCTTTTATTCTTTATTCTAGATATGTCTTTGTTCCAGATTTCTTTTCTTTTTTAGCTTCAGTTTGAATATAGTATAAACTGTTAATCAGTTCGGGATTCTTTAATTAAGCCATGAGTGCTCACCTGCAGTGCAAGCCTTTCTTTAATTCCTCCTGCATAGATGGAGATGGGCTCTGCTAAGGGAATGAGAAAGTATCAGCTGAGCTGGTACTCCCCAGCTACATTATGATTGAGGAGCCATATTTGCAGCTGTGTGAGAGACACTTCTGCTTGAGGTTGACCTCCTACTCCTTGTTGCCTTGATTGGGTCAGGAAGTAGGACTCTGGCCTAACTTCCTTTCTCTGCCACTGACTTCCTGTTGTGTGGCTATCTTCAGCCTGCCCTGACCAAAGAGTAAGGTTTCTTATGACCTGAAGGTATCAGAGTCTCGTGCATGCTGTGAGCTCCATTTTGACAGAAAAGGCGTATACCAAACTTTCTTAGACCCTAGAGAGCTCACCCAGAAGCCTTACTCAGGAGTGGTTAGAGGTGAGGGAAGCAGGTGATGAGTCTTTCTGCAGCCTCTGCAGAATAGGGCTCGGAGGCAGATACTCTTTTCTCTGCGTACCCCAAGTATGTTTAGTCTACCTTCCTAAATTTGAACTGGTTATTAGGTAATGGATTCATTAATGTGGTAATCTTAGGGCCTGCCAGACAGAGCCAAGAAATGAATTTTTATATTTCACTTTTCATGTTACTTTTTACTTGCTTCATTTCCCTAATTATACAGTTAAAAAAAAAGGTTTAATTTGTATTATGATCCTCGTTGGAATAGGGTTGGACTATTTGGCCAAGGAGTTGATTGTCAGCATGAAATCTAAGTTGGAAAAGGTATATTCTGATATTGTTGTCCACTTTTTTTTTTTTTAGACAGAGTCTCACTCTGTCGCCCAGGCTGGAGTGAGGTGATGCCATCTCAGTTCACTGCAACCTCTGCCTCCTGGGCTTAAGTGATTCTCATGCCTCAGCTTCCCGAGTAGCTGGGATTACAGGTGGGCATCACCACGCCTGGCTAATTTTTGTATTTTTAGTAGAGGTGAGGTTTCACCTTTTTATCCTGGCTGGTCTTGAACTCCTGACCTCAAGAGATCTGCCTGCCTTGGCCTCCCAAAGTGCTGGGATTACAGGTGTGAGTTGTTGTCTTACTTTTAGAAACACAATATGGATTTTATAATAGGTACAAAATAAGTCACATGTTGCAGTTACTGTGGAAGATAACTAGGATATAGGGCCCAGGGTTAGGGTTATACCTAAGAGTTGAGTCCTTTAAAATTTTTTTCCAACTTTAAAAAATTTGAGTATAATTTACATTAAGTTCGCAAATCTTAAGCATACAGCTTGATGAATTTTTTTACACCTGTTTGCCACAACCCAGATTAAGCTAGAGAACAGTTCCCACACGCCACATGCCTCCCTCAGTGTCTTCTGCTTCTCTCCCATAGATTAGTTCTGCCCGTTTGTGAATTTTATTTAAGTGGAATCAAACTGGGTATACTTTTTTGTGACTGGCTTCTTTCATTTACATTACGTCTATAAGATTCATCCATGTGACTGTGTTTATTCCTCCATCATTTATTTATTGTTTGTATGTTTGTTGGTGGGTCTTAAATGCTGCTTCTTGATTTGAGATGTGTAAAGCCAGGGTGGTGGGATTGAGGAAAAATGAACATGAGCTAGGGGAGGATGGCAGTGCTGCCGGGGTATACATTTCCATGCGCGCTATACCCGGAGGTGGGCTGTGAAGAAATACATCTCATCACTCAACACCTGACCATGTGGGAGGTTTCCCTGAGAAAACTGCCTCAGAACAGTTCCTGAAGGGAAGAAAGGAGAAGGAATTTATTTGCCTGACTTGGAAAGACAGTAATTTATTTACCTGTCTTTTGATGACCACTCAGCCAGAGTCTCTACTGTAGCAAATCATCCTCTCTTTTTAATAGAAGAAGTAAGAATAAAATAATGAGCAGAAATAAGCATCTGGGCACACAGAATATGGGCAACACTTTGGATAGCAATGTAGAAGGGGAAAGAGCTTTCCTATTCGTCTCTCAGGCTTTAGGAGAAAGCTACTTTTTACCAAGTTGACATGAAGTCCTGAAGTTCCTGGGTGTGTGTTGGGGAGAACAAAATATATTCTTTCCAGCCCTTGTGGACTCCTCTTGAGCAGAGTGGAGAAGAATAGAGTCAACCTTCTAAGCTTTATACTAGCTTGGAAGCTGGTATAAAGTCACTGAAACATGGCCAGGTGTAGTGGTTCACACTTGTAATCCCAGCAGTTTGGGAGGCAGGAAGGATTGCGTGTATCCAGGAGTTCAAGACTAGCCTGTACAGCATAGTGAGACGACGTCTCTACAGAAAAATTAAAAACTAGCTGAGTGTGGTGGTGCACGCCTGTAGTCTCAGCTGTTTGGGAGGCTGAGGTAGGAGGATCGCTTGAGTCCAGGAAGTTAAGGCTGCAGTGATCCATGATTGCACCACTGCACTCCAGCTGGGTGACAGAATGAGATCCAGAAAAGAAACTTCCCTCTGTTCTGCTTTCTTTCCTTTTCTCTCTTGCAAGATAAATCGGCTTCCACCTTCCTTGTACTGATCCTCCCTTCTCCTTTTCTTTTTCTCAATAATCATTTCCCAAAACCTGTAAACAGGAGGACTCTTAAAAAAAAAAAAAAAAAAAAAGAAAGCATTAGGATACCAAAAAAGAATTCCTCAATATCATCAAATATCTATCCTTTGTAATCCCAGCACTTTGGGAGGCCAAGGTGGGTGGATCACGAGGTCAAGAGATCGAGACCATCCTGGTCAACATGGTGAAACCCCGTCTCTACTAAAAATACAAAAAATCAGCTGGGCATGGTGGCGCGTGCCTGTAATCCCAGCTACTCAGGAGCCTGAGGCAGGAGAATTGCCTGAACCCAGGAGGTGGAGGTTGCAGTGAGCTAAGATCATGCCATTGCACTCCAGCCTGGGTAACAACAGCGAAACTCCGTCTCAAAAAAAAAAAAAGAAAAAATCTGTCCTTGTCCAAACTTCCATTTTGTTATACATCTTTGTTTGTTTTTACTTATTTATTTACTTATGGTTTATTTAAGTCTGGATTCACATAAGGTCAGCTTGTGATTGGTAGATATAGCTCCTAAATTATTTTTTAATCAACAGTTCCTTTCCCTCTACTCTTCCCCCTTTTTAACCTTGCCATTCATTTATTAAAGAAATTGGGTTAACTAACTTGAATTTCCCAGTCTGGACATTGCTGACTACATTCCCATGGTGTTGTCATATTCCTCTGTCCTTTATGGTTTTGTCAATTGGTGTTAGATCTAGAGGTTTGATCCAATTTAAGATCAATCAATCAATCAATCAATCATCTATCAATCATCTAGAGGTTTGATCCAATTTAGGTTCTATCTCTCTCTCTCTCTCTACCTGCCTACCTACTACTTACCTATCTATCTAGCTAGAGGTTTGATCCAATTTAAGTTCTATCTGTCTGTCTGTGTGTCTGTCTGTCTGCCTGCCTAATCATGTATTTTTCTTGGGAGTAGAAGGAATAATATATCATATAGAATATGTTCTTTTATCAGAGGCACGTGATATCTGGTTGTCACTCTTACTGTGATGTGACATCCATTGATGATCATTGCCTAGATCTGTTACTTCACTAAACAGCACAAAATGATGATATTCTAATTAAATCACTTCTTTCTGAGTTATTAGATGGAATGTTCTATAAAGTTTTCCCTCATCAATTGTTTTGTTATGCAGAGGAATAGTTAATGTAGCAAGTGCAGTACAAATGCTTGATTTTTGCGCTTTATTTAGGAGTTTTTAAAAGAATTAGCTGGTCTCCATAATCCTCCAAAGGGCGACAAATGAGTTCTTTTTGGTGTGTGTTGAAATATTTGATGTGCTTTAATCCATTCCAGTTAGTAGCTTTATCAGTAGCCCATCTTTGGCTAGTGGAGGCCTCTTTAAGTTGAATCTCAGACCCTTTCCCATGATGCTGTCTTTGATGGCATCCTTGATTTACAGCATGACTAGGGTTCTAGTCATCCCTTATACTTCCTGCCCCATACTTGGAACCGGTCATATTTACGATAAGTTTCAGAGATGTGATACTTAGAGACCATGATGATTTGGGTGCTGTGACATATATTTATTGAACAATGTGCCTGTGTTTGCATTTTGTTTTTCCCACTAAAATTATACCTAGGGTAATCTGTTGCTATAGGAATTTGACTAGACAGTTGAAGAGGTGACAGTTAAAGATCAAATGTCTTCCTTTTGAGCCCTGTTCAAGGTTGCTTGAACATTTGATAGGGTCCAGCTCTTTCTATTTTAAAACCTTTTATTCCCACCATTTCAGTCTTTTGCTTTATTTTCAGTGTTTTCTACATTGAAATTGAAACTTCCTTTTCATTCTTTCTTTTCCTTTTTTCCCTTCAGTAGGTAACTTCCTACCCAGTGACCTTGCCTTTGGGCAAGACCTCAGGCTGTCATTGGGAAAGGAGTTTGGAAGCACAGTTGTCAGAGTGTAGTGCTGCTGGTGGTGTGTCTTGTTGGTCATCTTGCCTGTGGCTGGCCTTTCTGTTGGAAATGGATGCATGGCACCTAGCACCATGTGCTTCACTCTTCCATGTGACCTAAGGAACACACTGTCTACCTCTGTGGCAGCAGAAACTTAATGGTTAGGCTGAAAAGCAAAAGCAGAGAAAGATCCTCAGAGAAAGTACAATCCTGGGTCAGATGGAAGATTCTATTCTAACTGAAGAGCTTTGAAAATGAAAAAAATGAGCAGTTTTTAATTACCCTGTTTTTCTTTTTTCCCTCCTATTTCTTTTAGATGCAGTCCGAACATTAAGCAATGCTGAGGACTATCTGGATGATGAAGACTCAGATTAATTCCTTTATGGAGCTTTGAGATCTAAAACTTCTGTTGCTTTTGCCATTCCAAAACTTTGTCTTTGCCAGAAGAGTGTTGGTAACTCTGAAAGAAAAGTATATATGAACACGGCAGTGTTGCACTATGTTTGAGTAGAGAGTGTAAATGAATTGTTCTCACCTTTGGTTTGCCAATAAGTGACTGGATTCTTGGCTGTAGGAAATACAATTATGTTCACCAGAGTAGAACAAGAAGAGATTATTTCTATTTATCAAGCTAACGGAATTTTAAGAATTTTTTTCTTTAAAACAAATCAGGATTTTTTTTTTTTTTTATTTAGTTAAAGTGCTTTACCTCAAGGGTTGAGATATTTTGAATGGATTTTTCAAGGGGGGAAAATGCTTATTATAATTAAAACCAAAATACTTAACAGAAAATCGTCAGATATTCTGACAAAATTAAACATTTTGAGAGACTTTGTTCCTTTTGTCTGTTTCTGTGGTATCACTCTAAGTACGTAAAGCTTTTTATATTAGGTGAGAATTGATTTTATTTTTTAAATTATATTTATTAGCACAGAAGAAGAATGAGAGCCACATTTTAGTTTAACTTATTGTGTCAGCTTTGATTAAAGTCAAGATGGTAATCATTGAGAAGGTGCATGTCTAATAGGTAATTTTAATAATTATGAGACTTCAAGTTTTTGTCTCCAAGGGTGTAGAGTGGAGAAACCCAACAACTCATTACAGTTTTGCTAAGATTTGAAGGGTTAAAAAACTTATTTCCTTATGATAGATGCCATACTTTTCCATATGGAGTAGTCAGAAGCCATGACATTTTTTGCATTCAGTTTTTCATTTTAATAACATTTGTTTTCTCACAGTATGGATCTAGTTCATAATGATTCAGATTCTTTTGCTGAAACACAATTAACATTGCAGGGAGCCTTCTGTACTACCGACATGACACGTCATTTGGGGTTCTAATTTTGTATCACTACAGCGATGATACTGAAAATGACATGGGCATTGGAATTTGCCTAGAATCCCAGCCGTAGGTCCAAATGTGTATTTTGCAAGAAAATTTCAATGCTAATTTCAAAAAACACATTGATGAAGAGAAGGAAATGTATGAAGAAGGAAGTGGGTTAGCCCAGGAAATGAACAGTTGCCTCTGTAAGAGTTTATTCTGTCTGTGACTGTTTGGTTTTTCTCTCTGTGGGAGCCTTGAGAGATGATACTCAGAGAAGCCCATTTGAGGTCTTTCAAATACCCCTCAACTAAATTTTAGTAGAAGGGAATCTGTACCACTAGAGACAGCAAAACATGAGCACAAATTCTGGTACCAACGAAAGAGGGAATTTTATTCTTAAAACAAGTATGTTATTAAATTGGATTTAACCAGTTGTATTTCTTCTTAAACATAAACTTGAAGGTATGAAATTCTTCCTGAAATTGTATCTATTGCATCTGTTCCCATAGATCCCTTAAGATTTTTCTTTAAAAAGGGGCTTGTTTCTTAACAAAAAGCTTTTTTTTTTTTTTTTTTTTTTTTTTTTTTTTTTTTTTTTTTTTTTTGAGACGGACTCTCACTCTGTTGCCCAGGCTGGAGTGCATTGACACGATCTCAGCTCACTGCAGCCTCCACCTCCTGGGTTCAAGTGATTCCCCTGCCTCAGCCTCCCCAGTAGCTGTAATTACAGGTGCACACCACCATGCCTGACTAATTTTTGTGTTTTTAGTAGAGATGTGGGTTTCACCTTGTTGGTCAGGTTGGTCTTGAACTCCTGACCTCATGATCTGCCCACCTCAGCCTCCCAAAGTGCTGGGATTACAGGTGTGAGCCACCACGCCTGGCAACAAAATGCTTTTAGAGAACCCTGTAACTTTCCTTTCTTCTATACTTTGGGCCTGGGGCAATTAGGATGAATTTAAACTAAAAACTCTTAATTTTTAAAACATGGGCAGAAATAATACAACTTGTGTGGTTATAGACAATTTTTATAAAAATACTATGTACTTGCTTTAGATATATTATCTGTATATCTGAGGGGAAGAATAGTGGAGGTCTCACTATCATTGTTTTTAACATTATCAAACTTAAGATAATTTTAGAAAGTTGGACAACTGTAGTTTTTTTGAAGATGAGGGGAGTCCTGAGGTATATGCATGAATTTTTGGTGAAACAGGACAACTCATTTAGTTGTGGCTGAAACTCCACTGGAAATTTTTTTGGTTTGTTTCTTGTTTATTCAGCCTGGCTAATCTGAGCTTTCTCGGAGATTGTTTAGTGCTGAACTCAGCAACAAAAATCAGTTCTAGGAACTTGCCACTGCTCTGACAGTGCAGAGGAGAGCTTTGATTATATTTTGGAAGTAACTTCAGAGGTTTTGCTGTAATCTGAGCATGCTGACAGGCACTGTGGCCTGAACTCCTTTCTAGCAATTGCACTCTTTAAATAGCAAATGCCTTCCAGCCACTTGGGCAGTGAGATGCTTGTTTAGTTGTAGGCCCAGGAGCCTCATGCAAAGAACAATTCTTACCAGGGGGTTCCCGTTTCAGTTTTCTTTCCGAGCTGTTTTGTTGCACATTTTGTTGTTGGGCTGACATGTATTACAGCATTTCTTTATGAGCACCCATGGCTCCTCTTTTCAGTAAATAAATTATGTTATTACCTGAAGCGAAATGTTGAACGAAGCAATGGCGACTCCATTTTTCTAATCTTAAAAAAAATTGTAAATAGGCTAGGCATGGTGGCTCACGCCTGTAATTCCCAGCACTTTGTGAAGCTGAGGTGGGTGGATCACCTGAGGTCAGGAGTTCAAGGCCAGCCTCGCCAATGTGATGAAACACTGTCTCTACTAAAAATACAAAAAAGATTTAGCTGGGCATGATGGTGGGTACCTGTAATCCCAGCTACTTGGGAAGCTGAGGCAGGAGAATCGCTTGAACCTGGGAGGCAGAGGTTGCAGTGAGCCAAGATCGTACCACTGCACTCCAGCCTGGGCGACAGAGAGAGACTCCATCTCAAAAAGGAAAAAAAAAAGTTGGAAATAATGCTGAATATGAAAGTTGAGGTAATTTGCAGATAATTTAAAGATAGAGGGAAATGTAATTTCTCCACATAAGCCATCTTCATAAATGGTTTTTTGTTTGTTTTTGAGATGGAGTCTTAACTCTGTCAACCTGCTGGAGTGCAGTGGTGTGATCTTGGCTCATTGCAGCCTCTGCTGCCTGGGTTCAAATGATTCTCCTGCCTCAGCCTCCCGAGTAGCTGGGATTAGCTGGTCTTGAACTCCTAACCTCATGATCCACCCACCTCCATCTCTCAAAGTGCTGAGATTACAGGTGTGAACCACTGTGCTGGGCCATAAATGTTTTTTATTGTGTAGAATTTCTGATTTACTAATTTTCTTATTGTGAGCGCTATATTTATCATCTTTGTAAATGATTATTTCTTTTCTGATAGACTGTGGAACCTAGCATTTACATCTGATCATCTGAATTCCCTATGGACTCAGACTCTGTATTTTTCTCTTGATTTTTATATCGTAAATATGTATATAGCAGGAAAACATTGTATAGCTGAACTTTGAAGTGTCCAATTACTAAAAGTTGAGGTTTGGGTATTGTAACAGATTCTGGTATCTCTATTTGCAAATATAGCTTTGGTGAACAGTTTTCCTATGTGAAGGAAAAATTGCAGACCACAAATTTATGGCTTCTGTTTCCTGATTTCTCAATAACAACTGCCCTTCCCTTTAAATGACATAAAATTAAATAAAACTACCATTTATGAAATGTCTACTCTGCCAGTGCCTGTGCGAGACATTTTTATAGACATGACATCATTTGATCTTTACAGTAACCTTTGGCAAGGAACCTTAATGGCCCTATCTTTTTACAGAGAAGCTGAGATTTGAAGAAGTTAAGTAACTGGTTCAAGTTCACACTGCTTGAAGGTGGACACGTGGGTCTGGGGGATGCCTGAATCCACGCGCTGTGGCCTGCTGCCACAGTCAGATGTCGTCATTCACATTGTGTCAGAAAAATCTGCCGAAACAGAGCAGCTTCTTTCTAACGGAGGCCCTGGATGCAGACATCTAACAAATTCAGCATATCTGCTAATCAATTCATAATTTATTTAAAATGACCCTAAGAGCGTCTAGAGAAATTTTCACAAAACTTATAGTTCCCAGTCACCCTAAGGAAATATGATTTAATGAAGCAGATTTTACTCCCAAATTTCCAAAATATCCTACCCTATGCACATTAGAGTATGAGTAAGTGTTAGAGAAGGGAAGATTAGCAGCTATGCACCTTGCTTTGAGTTTACATTGCTAAGTTCAGCAGTTCACTCAAGAGAGTCTGAGAGCTCCTCAATTCTGTGTAACCGTGAAAACAAATGCATCCCTGGGAAGGGTCAGGGGATGTGGTCTTACCTGAGTCTGGGAGCTCGATGCGTACATGGAGGTAAGTAACCTCATACTTCCCAGGCAGAGCTGCTGTGTGTGTCGCCGGTGGCCAGCTGCTTGGGTTTCCCTACAGGCTCAGCCTTTCTCTTGAGCTTGCACTGTTGGCTTCTGGGAGCTGGAGGGAGGACCAGGTTCCTGGCTGTGGCTGGAAAAGATCACTGAGGAAATCCAAAGGTATGCATTAGCCTGACAGGCAGCAGGAAGGAAAGTAGAAGAAAGAGACAAGGAGTGAAGAGGCTGAGCTGCAAGGGAAAAATGGTTACCTTTTCTAAATCTTCCCTAGTTCTGACAGAAATCAGTAGTATGCTTCGAGAAGTAGTGAGGGGGATGGGCTTTGGAATCACAATGGGTTCAAGCCTGATTCTGCCAAGTGACCTGGGACAGGTTACCTAAACACCCAGATTCCTTAGCTGTGCGTTGGAGGAAGTGGCAGTAGCTACTGCCTAGAGTTAGACTATTAAATAAAATATATGCAGGTGACTTAGAATAGTGCCTGAAAAACTCTACTACTGAGCAGTTGCTCAGTTAACGTTGGGTACAACCATGGACCTGAATAAGGAAGTTTGCATTAAAAGCAGATATGTGTGTTAACGTGTTTTTCAGTTTCACCACCAATATTGAAAAGCAGAATTTCCTAAAATACTTTAAAAATGAGTGGAGGATAAGGATGTTGCCTTCCAGTCATTTAGGTTTCTTTATATGTGGTAGAGTTTTTCATTTTTTTTCTTTTTTTTTTTTTTTTTTTGAGATAGAGTCTCAGTCTGTCACCCAGGCTGGAGTGCAATGGCATGATCTCGGCTTACTGCAACCTCCGCCTCCCAGGTTCAAGCGATTCTCCTTCCTCAGCGTCCTGAGTAGCTGGGACTACAGGTGCACACCACCACACCTGGCTAATTTTTGTGTTTTTAGTAGAGACAGAATTTTGCCATGTTAGCCAGGCTGGTCTCAAACTCCTGACCTCAGGTAATCCACCCACCTTGGCCTCCCAAAGTACTGGGATTACAAGTGTCAGCCACTGTGCCCAGCTGGCTGTTTCAATATAAATATACTTTATTTGAGTTACAGGGAAGAGGTATATAACTGGAAAAGACTTGGTTATTATTGTTATTAGAGTAATTCAAAGATAAAGTAGGGAGGATGTCTCTGCCACTGTTTCAGTTTTATCTTGTTACTTTGAAGTGGTTTGATGGCTTGATAGACCTAGGTCTGATGTCTGATACATGATTTGAAATCCGAAAGGTGTTTGGTGTTACTATCCTGCTCTTACGTGACTTCAAAATTCAGACAATACTATTATCAAATGAATAGACTTTGCACCTTCATAGGTTTCCCTATACAGTCTAAACTTCAAGAATTTAGTCTCACAGTGTCAATGAGAAAAAGAGAATGGAAGACACTTAAAAGTTAAGTATCATACAATCATCAGTAACTTGGAACAACAGGGCGAACAAAAAAGAACCAACTTGCATATTTTGTTATTACCTATTCCAGAAGGGAATTCCCAAGGCCACAAGAAAATGCTTTCTGTCAACAGTGAGTCTGAGATGTGGCTGTGATGCCTGTTTGGACACAGGATGGCTTGAAGAGTCACACAAAGCTGGACATTGACTGAAACGAAGTGGCTTTGGAGAAATTCGTGGCCCTGAAAGCTCTCAGACAGGACGTGTCACCCTGACAGCAGGCTTCAGGGAAAGCTGACATGCAGTCCTCTGTCATCCTGAGCCTGTGACATTGACCAGGTCCCTTGGTCCACATGATATGCCCAAAATGAGGATCAGGTGATACTGGCTTCTCCTGTGTAAAGCAAGTTATCATTGTTGCATCAGTTACTTAGAGGTCCTTGACTAGAACCTGATTTTTGAGACTTGAATCACAGCATAACCCTCTGTGGTGGTTGTGTCACCTTTTCAGGATGTGGTACTCCTCATCTGCGTCAGTATACATGACGAACCCCTGCGCTTAATCTCAGATCTGGCGCTCAGATGGTTGGTCTCTGGATGAAAGAGCACTCGATGACCCAGCTGAGTATGTGAGTGTGGTGTGGTGTGGTGTGGTGGAGGTTTTCACTGAATCTTTAAACCTACTGTAGGTGTGCTGGGAGTCTTGCTCTTCTCTGAGCCATTGCGTTTCACAAACTATGTTTTGGCCACTATTTATAGATACTCTATGAAGTTTGCCTTTCTTCTGTTTTTGAAAATAGGAAAGCATGCCTTATCAGCTCTCTCTGCCCTCATTTCTCATTTTTAGTTAGCAATAGTTTCTTGCATTCTGCTCTATGAATTTATTGTTACTGCTACACCTACTATTTATTTATTATTTATTTTCCTCTGGTGTTAAAACTGAAACTACTATTGCTACTTCTAACTACTAAGCATTTATTTCTTGCTAGGAAATCTCAGCAGGAAAATTATAACTGCTCCTATAAGAATTGCTCCTCAATATTGTTTTTAAATAGTCCTTTGATGTTCAGTCCAGTGCCTTGGCCCTGTCGCCTTTTTAATAGCTGGAGCCTGAGGCCCAGAAGTGACTTGCTGTGAGGAACATAAGTCAATACCAGAGCTGACCAGCAAGTGAGGAAATGGAAGGAAGGGGTCTGAGATGGTTGCCATGGGTATTCCTTCTAGATCGTGTTGTGTGAAATCATTTTCCCAGTGTGGGCGTGGTTTCCTGGCCTGAATTTTCCAGGTACTCTATATTCAGCGCTCTCCCTCACACTTTAATTCCATTTTAGACACACACAGGGGAGTGGGAAGGGCCTGATTAAATCAACTATTTTTTTTTTTAACTTTTATCTTCTGGTTTAATGTGGCTGATATGAGAAGAAATTGAAATGCTAACCAGAATGCCATTTGTGATAATAGAATTTATAATCCATGTTTTATGGCCGTCCCCTATTACCTGTCCTAGATAAACAGGAGTTGAATGTCTTGTGTCCTGATTTTTATGGTCTCTTGGTTACTGCAATAACAAGATCACTCAATCAATGGAGACTGTTCCATTATAGAATATCCGTGTTCACTCTGCCTTCTCTTTATTTCATCTATCAGCAGTGAATAGCACTTTCATGTTTAAGATGCTCCTCTTTTAAGTTGAAGAATAAGAATAAATGTATTGAATGGCTTTGTTCAGTAGCAGCATTGTCCTTTAGACCCACTGAGGAATCTTAAGAATGAAACCATCATAAATAGGCAAATAGGTAATGTTTCATTAAATACTTGTGGCTAGTATGTTTCCTTTTTAACCAAGAGCCCAGTAAAATTTGTAATGACTTCAAATGACTAAGAACACAAGGCCATTTAGTGTCCTCAATATTTATTGATATGCTTTGCTTATTTTAATGGCTTGCATATATTTTTTATGAATAATGGTTTTATATAATTCATACTGATACACAATAAAAGTCTCATTGTGTTCACATTCCTTTGTGGATCTCCTCTTTTGCATGTTGATTGTGGTTTCATGCTAAAACTGTAAAAATGTACATACAGTACTGTTTTCATTTTCCTCGTTACTACAAGCTATGTGATAAACTTACTTCTGTATATGTCATTTTCATTTCTCTTTCAACATTTCTTTATTATGAAAGAAGCCAATACTTAAGTCTTAAGAAATTTTATCATCTATTATTTTCTTATTCTCTGTTTTATAAAATCCATAGAAATTATTTCCTCAGCTCCACCTAAATAAGGAGTTTTAAATTGTAATTGGAGGGACTGTTGATTGATTGATTGATCAAGTCTCGCTCTGTTGCCCAGGCTGGAGTGCAGCTAGAAATGATCTCTTTTTCCTTTAATCTCTAATAACATTAGCTATTTTTATTTTTTTAGTTAACAGGTAACATATATTTTTGTGTCATAGTTACTTTGTATTGTATTCATGCCTTAACTCATTGTACTTTTTGAGGATAGGGTCTATCATTGCTTTTGCCTCAAGATAGCACAGTGCCTAGCATACAGTAAGTGTTTAAACATTAAAAGAAATGCATAGTAAAATTGACTTCTTTCTTTTTATCTTTAGGTCTACAAATTTTAACACTTGTGTAGATTTGGGCGACCACCACCACAAGTAGGATACAGAACACTCTAAATAACTTCCTGTGCTGTCACTTTAGAACACCCTACCCTTCTTCTCTCCCTTGCCAGGCACTGATCTATTCTTCATTACTGTAGTTCTGTTTTTCCCTAGGATGTCATATAAATTGAACCATTAGTCTATAGTCTTTTGAGGCTGGCCCCTTTTACTCAACCATAAAACCTTTGAGATTATCAAAATTTGTTGCGTGTATCAATGATGGCTTCTTTTTTTATTGTTGAGTAATAGTCCCTTATATGGATGTAAAACAGTTTGTTGCTGGACATTTGGGTTGTTTCCAAATTGGCAGTTATAAAGAGCTGTAAATGTTTGTGTACAGGTTTAAGCAAGTGCTTTTTGAATAAACACATGAATAAACAATTAGTATAATTTCAACCATGTGGTCTTATGGACAGCTATACATAAGCAAAATTTGTGATAAGCCTCATTGGAGGCACATAGAGAAATGGACATATATATAATATTTATATATATTATATAGATACATAAAGATTATATATAATGAATAGTTCTAAAATAGACATACAACGTTTTTTTCAGATTTCAAAAAAAGATGGGATTACTTCTGGCTAGTTGTGGATGTGGGTAAAGTATCATCATATTATTTGGATTCTGAAATCCAATAATTGCTTCCCAAACTCAGAGGCTTGACACTGCAAACCAAAGAAATCCATGAACCTGCTCAAAGATTTGCTTATCTTGTAATTTTATATAGAATTAATTGACTATTTTTAAAATGCTTCCAAGAAGTCCAGAATGTCTGTTTATATCATTGACAGAATTACTCCCTATGATTCAGAAATACAACACACTTTAAATATAGTTTTTAAAAGATGTTGTCATTGTAGACATCCTCAGAAATTTCACATAGAGCAAGAGATTCTCAAAAATTTCAAATAGAATAAGACACTCTCAGAAAATTCAAAGTAGTACAAAGTATTTTGACTTCCCCTTCTAGAAAGATTTTTCACTTTTAGGGAGAACTGAGTTTTAGACCTGGGTTTAACTACAAACTAGGTAAAAAGCATCAGACAAGTTGTTTTAACTGCTTGAAACTGTTTTCTCATCTCC